CGTCCTCTGACCCTATCCCCTCTCATGTGTTCTCTCTCTCTCATTCTCTCTCTCTCAAATAAATAAATAAAATCTTTAAAAAAAAAAAAAAAGAGTAACATATTTTAAGATACATGGACGTGAAGTTCTCAGATATCAAGGTAAGTGGAAAAAAACAGGTTAGGGGCACCTGGGTGGCTCAGTTGGTTAAGCATCCGACTCTTGGTTTCAGCTCAGGTCGTGATCTCAGGGTTGTGAGATCGAACCCCACGTCGGGCTCTGCGCTCAGTGGGAGTCTGCTGGAGATTCTCTCTCCCTCTCCCTCTGGCCTTCCCCCAGCTCGTGTTTGCGTGCTCTCTCTCTCTCGAATAAATGAATAAACGTTTGGAGGAAAAATAAATAGGTTCTAGAATAGAGTACATGGTATTTGATAATCATTAGAGGTTTCAGCCAGATATTCCAGTTCTCCCTACCTGGGCACACGAGAGAATTACATTTCTTGGTTCCTTTGTTTGGGTGGGGCCATGAATGGTGAGTGGAACTTGCAGGAAAGAGCACGTAATTACTAGTGTGTAACAGCTAAAATTCTTTTTTCCTCTGCCCTAGTGGAATGTTCTAGACAGTGTTCCAGAAAGTGGCTGTTCTGTCAGCCTGGAACCTGGAATGAGGCCGACTCACAATGGACAAGTGGCATGAGCAAAAAATAGATCTTTGTCATTTTAAGACCCAGAGAGCTAGGGGTTACTGCAGCAGAACCCAGCCTATCCTGACTGATGCATGGTACCATTCTGTGTGTGTGTGCGCGCACATGTCCAGAAAAGAACCTAGCAGGCAGGATTCAGTCCAAACTGCTAACAAAGCCTGGAGAGTGGACTGAGACACAGAGGCACTTTTCACTTTGCACCCTTCTAGGTCGGTTGATTTTATTTGTCCTTTGAAAATAAAGCCCATATTCCCTTTATGATGAGAAAACCGTAGACAGAACTTTCAGCGGATGGCACACTGAGCACCAGCCTGGCGGGAACACTCACCTCATCGGGGAGACCTCGTCAATGCGGTTCCCCAGCTGAGACTCGTGGGACTTGCTCCGGGTGAGCGTGGGGAAGCTGGGCAGCAGCTGAAAAACCTTGCGGCTGGGTGGGGGCGGCGTCCGCGGCGGTTTCAGCTTGGTGTGCCTTCGCAGCTGGGGCGTGGTCGGGGGGGTGATGAAGCTGTGCAGGGCCCGGGGGGTCAGCCGGCCACTGGTGTGCAGGAGGATACAGGTGTCCGAGAGGCCCTCACAGGGGCCGGGGATCGGGGAGTCCGAGGTGGGCAGAGCGGACACAGACACGGAGCGTGGGCCCTGGGTGCTGCCGCCCATTCTGCCCAGCTGGGCGCCCCCTGGGGGCCAAGGCAGGCTGGCCGGCGAGAGGGCGTCCGCGGAAGGCCCTGAGCCGCTTTCCCGCCGGGCATCCAATGAACTCCAGCCCGAGTCCTCTTTGTGCTCTCCTCCTGTGGGCCAAGAAGTCGAGTCACAGATGTTCAGAGATAGAAGGACTTACTAGCTAGGTGAGGTGGCCAGGGCCCCGAGGTTAACACCTTGCCCAGGGCTGCATGGTCCCCTCTCGGCAGGCTTCGACTCGAAGCCTTTATACAGGCCTCTCGAGCACACAGATCACCACCCGTGTCGTCTGTGACTGTGAGGCCACCAGCTCAGATATTACTGTCCCCATTTTACAGAGGGGAAATGAGGACCAGAGACAGAATGGCTCGTCTAGGGTTCTTGCTGGCAGGTCTGCGGGGAGCAAGCTGGGAAACCCAACCCCAAAATGAGTGACCTCAGAGAGGGAAGTGGCAACTGATCTTTAAGAGTCAAGAAGGGGAAGCTGGGGTGCTCGAAGGGGATAACTCCATGTCAAGAAAATTCAAACACCAGGAAAGGGGCATATCAACCTTCAGTAGTAATCTGCCCTGGGAATTTGCTATAGGACAGAGATCTGGTTAGAAGAGGATCAATAGCCAATTCCTTCCGAGAGGCACCCGTGACTTTTGGCTGCCCACACAGCGGACCCCCGAGACCTTGAGGCTCTGGGCAGTTCCAACTCAATGACCCAGTCTGTCCATTCATTCGAGCATATGCTGGATGCCGGGTGTCAGGCCATGAAAAAAGACATCCACTGTGCTCAGACAGTCCAAACAGCAGAACAGCAGTGTGCTGAGACAGAGACGCCCAGACCCTGAGGGAGCATGGAGAAGGGGGACCCTAACTAGCCTGGAGATCGGGGGCTTCCCAGAGGTGGCGGCGTTTGCGCTGAGCCACCTGGAGAAGGTGAAGCAGGTGCACCAGGCAGAGGAAACAGTACATGCAAAGGCAGGGAGTCCACAGCACATTCTGGTGACTATGAGGAGTTCCTCGTGCCTGGAGAGGTCAGGACGAGCCAGAGAGCTGCAAGAGGCCAGCTCAGGAGGGGTCTCGGAGGCCTCGCCAAGGACTTTAGGTTGGAGCTTATAAGGGATGGGGAGATACCAAAGGGTTGGGGGCAGGGAGAAAGGAGCCTGTCTACAGAGACCCCGATGTGGGGAAGGAAAAGATACCTCCCTCCTTATTTTACCAGTGAGGGGAAAGTATGGATAGGTCGATGTTGACTCAAGACAAAATGAACTTCCACACGAGTTATTCCACTTTGTGCTTTCTCCCCTGTATCGCTCAGTCTTCCCAGCACGTCAGGGAGGCCAGGAACGCTGATGAGGTCAGGCGGCTAAGCGTGAGGTGGGACAGGAACAGCGCCCTTGGTCCCGACCGCGGCACTAGGCCTCCTCCCACAAGGCTGTCCGTCCTGAATGGCCTACAAATACAGCTCAGTCTGGCAAGCAAAAGAGCTCTCTGTCATCAGAGATGCTCCAGCCCAGTCCGGACGCCATCGATCAGGGATGGTGGAGAGAAACTGGCCTTCACAACGCTCAAGGGCTCTTTGTACATGTCCTCCCTCCTCAAGGACCCTTTCCCCTACTTCACTGCCTCAGGACTTTCTTCTCAGGAATCAACTCCATGGAGTGAGTGACTCAGTCCGTGTGTTCCTTGTGTTTGCTCTTGTAGAACCTGCAGCCACAACTGTAACTTAGAGACTAGACTCCCGGAGGCTCTGGCCTATCTCTTCCTGAGGGGATGGAAGATCGAGTTCCATGATCCATGCACAAGTCCGCCACCCAAGGAAACGAGTCCCAAACGCTTCAGACTGCCCATTTAATCTCTGCTGCTTTGAGCCGCCCAGGGATGGCACATGGGTCTCGACACACACGTGAACACTAGTTATCCGGCAATGGCTCTCGAGAATGATTCTGGAGTCACTCAGTAGGAAGAGCTGGGGAGTGATTAGAGACGTGTGCTATGGATGAGGGACCGAAGCATCAGCAGAAATGATCTCCCTTGTTCACCGGACACTGGCACGGAGAACCATCCTTCACTCACCTTTCTTAAGAGCAGGGGCCACAAGGCAAATGCGTTCAACATTTTCCACGACCCCGCAAATCTAATACTGAAAAGAGCACTAATATACGCCAGGCTCTGGTCTAAGTACTTGACGGTCACTCATTTCATCCTTACAACAACACGATGAGAGAATGCTGTTATGACCTCCACCGTACAGACGAGGAAACTGAGGCACGGTGGGGTTAAGTCACAGACCGAGGTCCCACAGATTCTAGGAGTGCTGGGCTGAAACAAATGGATTCCACGGTCCATCTTTACTGCAATTAGACTGCTCTCACCAAGCCCAGTTAGTTGTAATAAAGACTATGACCACATGATCTGAGAGGCAGGGCGATCACAGTCCCCACCCAGTCCCCAGCAGGTGCCCTAGGAGTATGGTCACCGCTGGGCAGACGCATTTGGATGAGGTGTGGCCAGGACCCTCTTGTGGACGTAGAGGTACCACAAGCTGAGACCAGATGAGAAGGATGTGGAAAAGACCCTGTCCTCCCCAGAGGCCTCCTCTGGGGCATAGTAGAAAAGCACCCTCTGAGGAAGAAACCCAGCTCTGGGGCGTGCCAAGTGTGGGACCCCAGATAACTCACCCAATGCCTCTGATGCTCTAGCTAGAAGAGGCTCTCCCTACCACCACTTAAAAAGGTGTTGCCAGGGCACGTTCTGCATGGAGCACTGGGTGTTATGCACAAACAATGAATCATGGAACACTTCATCTAAAACTAATGATGTAATGTATGGGGATTAACATAAGAATAATAATAATAAAAAAAAGGTGTTGCCACTTGGGGCGCCTGGGTGGCTCAGTTGGGTAAGCGACTGCCTTCAGTTCAGGTCATGATCCTAGAGTCCGGTGATCGAGGCCCGCATCGGGCTCCCTGCAGGGAGTCTGCTTCTCCCTCTGACCCTCCTCCCTCTCATGCTCTCTCTCTCAAATAAATAAATAAAATCTTAAAAACAAACAAACAAACAAAAGGTGTTGCCACACAAATGTCAAGTGCCTGGCTTCATAAATTAGCGTTAATGAGTTGGTGATCCCCCTAGCTTGGCACCTAGGACGGGCAGTCACCTTCCCAACACAAATAGGTCACCACCCCTCCTCAACTGCTGGTTCCTCCACAATTCTTTACAATTCAGGCGTAAGGAGGGAAGGCTGACAAGTTACCCACCCCAGTCCCAGCTTGGGTGGCAAATACTTCTAAATTCCCACAACATGGAAACAAGCTAGCCACCCACAAAGACTGAGGCTGGAATCCCAGCTCTGTCACCCAATGCTGGGTGTCCTCAGCGAAGCCCTTTCCCCTCTTTGGGCTCCATCTCCTCTGTAAAATGTGGGAATGAGAATGTGGACTATGTCTCTCTCACGTTTATTCTGTAGCCCCTGCTGGGAGGCCTGGCCTGTCGAGGTCTTCAGAACTGAGTGAGGCTCTCCACGCTGGGCTCTGTGTTCAGAGGAGGACTTGGGACAATGGGGTCCAGGAAGAAATCAAGCCCAATCCCCGGGGGGGGGGATCAAGCAGAATATAAACCCCAGTAGCTTCCTTAAGCCTCAGTCAGCCAGAAATAAGACAGGTGGTTCCGATCATTAAAAATGGGACTAATTCCATTCATTAGGCTTACTGTAAAGCCTTATCGGTATCGTATTGGGAACGTGAAATCACGGCATTTAAAGCCGTTTCCAAGGCAAGATTTAAAAAGCCTGTAAATAATTCCCAAGGAACTCCTCGTAATGCCAGGATGACACACTTTGCCTGGGGCGGCCATGCACACACTCAACAGCTGAAACACCACACAATTTCTCTCATCATGCTTCTGCCTTCTGAGCACACAGCCCAGCAGCCAATGGGGACAGGAGAAGGTAGTGAGCAGGCTGGGGGTGAGCCGGGCTGGGGAGGGGGCTGGAATGCAGGGAGCCGAGGGAGGGTTCAGAGCCCAACAGATGTGCTCAAAACGGGAAATCACACAGGGCCCACTTAGTGGATAGGACTGGGGTCTCTGATGATGGCAAAAGCTTCCCTTGGTTCATCCTAGCCAGAGCAGTCGGGATGCAAACCCTCCATCTCAGATCACACACTCTCTGGCCTTTCCAAGCTGCCCCAGAAACCCTGGGCCATACTTGCCCCACCCGCGTCAGTGGCCCCAGGGAAGCAGGACAGGCCTGGAGAGGGAAGCCTGCTATTTCAGCCCCGCTGGAGGGACAGGGAGCCGATGGGGCCGGCCTCAGCACTGGGGAGGCCAGTCCTACCTACCCAGACCTGTCACTTTCCGCAGGCAGGCAAGGGCGTACTGCAGGCGGCTACACTCCTCGGCATTGGCCCCGTAGCGCCGAAGCGTCTCCTTCACCTTGACCTCGTTCATGTCCAGCAGGGCATCCAGCGTGAGCTCGCTGAGGATCTCCTGAGGAAGTACAGAAGGGAGAGGCAGAGAGCTGGTGAGCAGTCAGGCCGGCCCGGGCGCCCTCCTCATCCTCTCCGCGGCCTGGGCTGGGCTCCCCCGCTGAGTGGCAGGGACCAGGTGCTGGCAGGCCAGCTTTGGGACCAGAAGCCACCACTTGTCAGAGGACACAGGCAGCTAGCTCTCGCCCCCACCCCCAGCGCTCCCAGAGACAGCAGCTGAGGTTGAGACACCAAAGCTGCAGGGCTGGGATGGGGGAAGGACGGAAAAAACAGCAAAGTTACGATGAGGGCACGTTGCCCGCTTGTTTCTTTTTATGCCTCTGCACAGAAAAATGATGAATCATGACAACTTCTTAGAATGACAAGAACTTCAGATAAAGATGGCCCTTTGCAATTTTGCTGTATCTGAATTAGACAAGAGAGATTCCAAATAAAACTGGCTTAACGAGAGAAGGGTTAAAAAGAATTAACCCTCACGAAACACCCTCTAGGACCTTACTACCTCGCCTTATTTAATTCTCAGTCAAAACCTTTCAAGGATTCAAGGTAGCAGAGAGGAAGGGAGAGACTCAGGTGCGACAAGGACTCCATGTGGACTCTCATGGAGGGGCCAGATGGGAAGGGACGCAGGCGGACCTCTCGGACAGAGAGTGGCCCCTGGCGGACCAGCATGGAAAAGGGAGCCTCAGACCTACAGCCAGAAGGAACTGGCTTCTGCCAACAACCTGAATGCACCTAGACGCGGCTTCTTCCCAAAACTTCCAGGTAAAAGGCCAGCCTTGCTGACACCTTAAGTTCTTGGGCCTGGTAAGATCCTCCATCCTGTTCTCCTCCTACAGAACTGTGAGCTAAGAAATGGGGGATGTTTTAGGCTGCTGTGTTTGTGGTTATTTGTTATACAGCAACAGAAAAGTAATACAGAGAGTGAATATTTGAATCAAGGCCTGACTTCAAAGCTTGTGCTCTTTCTTCTCATCAAGGAGGAAGAAAACCCCTCCGGTTCTGACTGCTTTGAGCCATATGTGATACCCAGTCCGGAGCAGACACACAAAACGATAGCATATGTCTCTGGCCTCCAGTGGCTTGCAGGTAACTGACATAAAAAGACAAGTCACTTCAAAGCAATATAATATGGCCTAGCACAGAGAAAGCTCAAAGAGCTACCTGAGGGAGGGCGTGGAATGAGGGGTAGGACTGGGGATCAGGGTATTTCTTCTTCTTCTTTGGCCCCTTTTGTTATTTTCCAGATTTTCTATGTCAGGGAAGGCCATATCCCACATCAAATGATTCATATAAAGCTTGTAGTTCTTCAGAATCTAAGCTGATTTTCATTGATGTCAGCTAGCCGTGTAATCTTCTTTTAGAAAGGGTTACTGTCCATTCACGCTGCTATAAATCGTAGACTTAGCTGTCGAACCTGAACCTGACGGAGATACTGGCTATGAGTCTTTAGAGCAATGACCTGGGGGTTTTTTGCGATGCTGGTGGTGGGGGCCACCGCTGAGGCCTGGGCTCTGGCCATATCCCACTCCCACCCCCACAACCTTTTCGTCTTGTCAGTATACTCTTCAATCTCCAGGGCTGTGGAGAAGAATCTCATAGCTCTTTAGAGTGATTCACACTGAAATTTGGAAAAACAGATGTGAAAAAAGCACCAAGAAGCTCATCACTGGCTGGACAAACAAACCCTTGGTTGTCAGAAATCCTTCCAGATGATATAACAAGAGCATCACAGGAAACCGCTGGTAACAGCAGAGGCAGGAGGCTGGTCAGATAAAACACCCCCAGGCCTCAGTTTTGTTTAATCCATGTGTCTTTATTGGCCTCTAAGAGGCTCTTCATCAAAATGCAGTTTAGACATCTTTCCCCTCCCTCTACTATGAAAGCCAGCTGGGCAATATTGTCAAGAACGCATGGCGGTGACGTCGAGCTTCACACACTGCACAAAACGACCCACCACCCTTCCCTGGAGTGTCCTCCGTGCTCACCAAACGTGCACTGCCCCCAGGCTGTGATGACTCAGCAGTTCTCCAGAACAGAGATTCAGAAACCAGCCTAGAAACCCAATCCCCAATCTAATTATCATGCAAATAGGGATTTTCTTCCTTCCTTTCTTTCTAATCCTCTCCTCCCCACCCACACCAAGCTTCCAGTTCTCAAACATAGTAAGTACGTTTATTATGACAAACCATCTGCCAAGACAGTGTGCCCAGTGCTTTGTATACTCTCTCGGCTCAGCACAATTCAGCAAGGATGGGCAGTGAGGTGCACCCGCCCGAGCCCCAGAGACCTCAGGCAGGGCAACCTAAGGAATGGCCAAACCCACGTGTGTGGGATCCCAAGTTCCTTCAACTATTCCCCTGCTGTCATTCCTCAACCTGGCAGAGCCTTGGGAGGCAACAGCTACCTTGGGGGAAATAATTTTTTTCAAAGTAAATTAAAGGAATTAATTTCTACCTGCTTTCTGGAAAAAAGAAAAACCACAACTATACTGTGAAATGGAAATTCTTTGTTCTTTATCAAAGTGAAGTAACCCCCCAGGAAAGAGAAAGAATATGTTCAAATCCATTCCCTTAAAAAAAAAAAAGAAGAAGAAGAAGAAGAAAGCTATTTCCCTTAAAGTTCCAAATTAGCCAGAAAGTTTCTCCCACTGCCATGAGGCTTCATGGATTAGCCCCACCACACAGGAACGAGGCAGCAGAGACCACCTTCCTTCTCCTCCTCTGCCCTCTCTTTAGGCTCCAATTCAAACCAGGGGTTGGCAAGACAAAACTGGGGGGTGGGTGGGGGGACTGGGACAGAAGAGCCAATCCAGGGGCCCACTTAAAATTGGAGCTGCTCCTGTCTCTGTCTTGATCAGCAACTTCTAAAGCTAGCCTCCCAGGGTGTGAACTGTTCATGTCCATCCATGGAATGAAGAGTGCTAGCACATGGTCATGGTCATCATTTCTGACTGCTCCTTCCATTCCCTAACCCCTACCCCACCCCAGGGTTGGATCACTGAACTCTCCCTAAAAGCTGCGGCCAAAAAAAGCTATCCACCAGTCAGCAAGTTACCTGGTAGAGTAAGGGTCTCAAATACACAAGCCTCAGGGCCAGGCCGTGGGAAGAAATGAGACCAGTGGGGATGTGGTCCTCTTGATCTATCTTTTATTAGTAAAGACACTTCTCTTCTTTACTGGACAACAAGAAACCCAACAGCAGCAAGGACAATGCTAATCAGAACCCCACCCTCTGCCTTCATTCAGTGTTGGGGTCTGAGGGGAGGCAATGGGAGGGTTACCAGATCTGACTACACGGAAATCTGGGGGCACCTGCATGGCTCAGTGGATTAGGCCTCTGGCTCTTGATTTCAGCTCAGGTCTTGATTTCAGGGTTGTGAGATTGAGCCCGGAGTCAGGCTCTGTGCTGGGCAGGGCGTGGAGCCTGCTTAAGAGTCTTTCCCTCCCTCTGCTCCTCCCCCACTTGTTTCCCCTACTCTAAAAAAAAAAAAAAGGAAGAAGAAGAAAATAAAAAAAAAACTGGATCTTTATTTTAAAATAGCTGATTTTGGGGCACCTGGGTGGCTCAGTCGGTTAAGTGTCTCACTTTAGCTCAGGTCATTATCTTGCGGTCCCAGGATCGAGCCCCATGTCAGGCCCCCTGCTTAGTGGGGAGTCTCCCTCTCCCTCTGCCCAGGCTCAAGTTCAATCTCTCTTCTCAAATAAATAAAATAGCTGATTTTCAAATGGTAGCAACTAATACAAAACTGTGCAGACCAAGATTCACATCCGTGAGTTACACAGAGCCTCCAGCAAGGAGACCCTATGTGAAGAATGTGACACCTTCCCAAGTTCTGTCTGATCAGCAACTTCTAAAGCTTTATTTCCATAGGCAAATGGGGAGGGAAGGCACCACAGCACGTGTGGCCAGGCCTTCTCAGCAAGGTGTCCACACTGGCCGTGAGACCCCACCACGAAAACTAAGTGCGCTGGCCTTTCGATGCCTACAAGTGATTTCGGACCTAAAGTCCATCAGTCAAGGTGGGAAAGTACATGAGGGTTAGGGTTAGCAAGCATGCTGGAACCAGGGGAACCAGTATACAAAGAAAAGGCATCCATCCAGCTCTCAGCTGGACCTCCAGGTAGACGACGGTCCGGCTGGGTGAGTGGCTGGGCAGGCCCCGGGAATGGCCCTGGTATCTCCTCCAGCTGTGGCCCTCCGTAACTCGGCACCCCCAGACCTCACACATGGATGTGATCTGCCCACCCGCAGCGACAGGCACGGCCGAGTCTGAGTTAGGAAGGTCTTCTAGACCACGTGCAACTTCTCTAGATCACCCCTACATGGAAAGCACATTAGGGAATGAGTTTCACCAACTGCTGCAGGTGACCTCACATGTCCGCCAACGAGCAGGCAGGTGAAGCTGCTCTGAAGCCCCCTCAAGCCTGAGAGGCCCCACAGTCCCAGGAGGGTCTCCCACCTGCCTGGAGGCACGCGGAAGATGACAAGTTGTCTCAAAGCCAAGGACCCGGACTGGGGCTCTCGGGAGGGGATGAAGACTGAGAGTCCATATTGCTTCGAGGAGAATTCCTGCCCACTCCATCCCAGCTTCTGTTTAAAAAGAAACCATGAACCAGAAACCAAGAAGGGAAGACAGGGTTGCCCGGGCAGTGCAGGGGACCCCAAGCCCCGGCTCCGGCAAGGCTCCAGTTTGCACCTGAGCACAGAAGTGGGGCGGCGAGAACCTGGGACAGAGCAAGAGCTCCAGAGAACGTTGGCTCCCGGCCTTGGCCTGTTCCTTCAAGTCCCGGTCTATGTCCTCCGGTAGGTGACGGGAAGTTATTCTTCCTGATGATCATTAGACAGCAGGGTTGGTGGAGGGCTGAGGTCACTCCTGGTCTATGGTAATTCACCTGCCGGTTCTGTTCTCTAGAGCAGGCAGCGGGGATGGGCCGGGCCAAACACAGCTGTCCCCTCCCCTCAGCAACTGGCAGCAGGTCATGTCAGGGGGCAGGATGA